CCCGTACGCCGAGCACTGGTACGCGCGGCTGCGGCCGTGGGAGCACTTTGTGCCCGTGGCGGAGAACCTCGCCGACCTGCCCGCCCGCGTGCGCTGGGCCTCGGACCACCCGGAGGAGGCGGCCGCCATCGGCGCGCGGGGGCGCGCGCTCGCCGAGTCGCTGCACGAGCTCGAGCTCGCTTGCTACTGGTGGCAGCTCCTCACGGCCTTCGCGCCGCTTCAGTCGCACCTCCCTCGCCGGCTGGCGGCGAGAGCGTGAGTTTGCGCGCTGGCGCGGGGGTTGTCCGGCACCGCCCGGATGTGCAACGATACGTAAAAAGTGCCCTTTACGGCTTACGTTCGCGTCCGGACCCATCTCGCTGTGTGGTGTGTGTCCTGCAGGGCACACGTGACCGACACGTCCTCCACGCGGCACGGGGACCGGCCAAAAACGGACACCTGCGCACGTCACAGCAGTGACGGGTGTTGAAGAGGGCGGTTAGGTATAGGAGCTATAGGTTGGCGAGAGCTCTCTGCGTAGTACACACCTTTTATAGCACGGGTGATGGCGATATCAATATATGAGATGTGTTAATGAAAATGACTGCTTCCTTCGGGTGAGACTCTGTCACGCTGACCGATCCGCGCGTCGCGCCTCGGGCCTCGCTGACTCGCCCCCTCCTCGCCCTCTGTTCTCCGTGCCCGGCATCATGCCATCACCTGCCCACAGAGGGGTCTGCCCACGGAGCTTCGGAGGCACGGTGGCCGGAGCAGCACGCTCTGGCTGGGCGCAGCGGTGAGGCCTGCCGCCTATCGCCGCTGCCTCGCTCACTCCTCCGGCTTCGCCTCTGCCTCCGTGGTAGAGGCGTCGCCTCCCGCCCCGAGCTCCTGGCTGGGGTTCGCCTCCTCCTCGGCCTCGAATCGCGAGAATGCGAAGCGCGTCTCGTACGGCGACGTCACCTTGTACATCGCCGCGCTGCCTGTAACATGCACAGAGCGGCGGTCGGTGCGGGAGCTCGCTGCACCACCCGACGATGCACATGCGGCGTCCGCCTTCGATTGCGCCCTCCGCCATCGCGCTGGTCTTGAAACGGCCGGCGTTGCTGCCGGGGTACTTGTCGCGCTTGCCGTCGCGCGGTGTCGTCGCAGAGAAGGACTGACCCACGATGCCTACACGCACATGCTCCGAGAAGGTCTACACAACGCCCTCGGATCGCGACTCTTGGCCGGGGGGACCGTGAGGGAGGGAGCGGGCCGCCGCGTCGCCCTCCGCGTGGATGTTTACATCGAGCTGGTGCTTCGGGCCGGAGACCCAGCCCTCGACGCTCTTGGCGCCGACGGTGAAGGTCCAGCCGCTCACCTTTGGGAGGGGTGGGGGTAGGAGGGGCGGCTCTGTACTTGCGTTCACGTGGGAGATTATCGCTGGCCGGGAGAGCGGCCGCCTCGAACTTGGCAGACGAGTAGTGCGGCTTGATGGAGAGCTCCTCGCAGCGTCGCAGCGTCGTCCCAAGCCCGAAGGAGAAGGCGTGGCCGCCGCAGGATCCGGTGATGAAGTCGAGGCCCGTGTTGAACTCGGTGAGCCGCGAGGAGAGGAAGGAGGCGTTGGCCCACTTGCGCTTAATGCCGCCCACGCGTGCGACGACGTGCGCCTAGGCGCGAGCCGCACGGTGACAGGGGTCTCGCCTGGAAGGAGAGGGGACGGGGAGGGGGCCTCGGTGATGAACGACCCGTCAATGGTGGTGCCGGGCCACCAGGGCGGGTTGTAGACGACGTCTTCCCACCGTCTTGACGTTGAGCGCAACGCCAGGCGCGGAGAAGAAGCAGACGATCGTATTGTCCTCGCCGCGGTAGTCGGCGCGGCCACCGTGCGCGTGGAGGTGCGGGTCGCCGGTGGAGCCAATTGGCAGCGGGCCTGGCGATGGGGATGGCGATGGAGAGGGCGTTCCGCAAATCTGGTCCCTAGTATGCTGCTGACAAGTGGAGAGCTCGAGAGCGCGGCCGCGGCCAGCGAGGCGTCGGCCCTCGACGGTGCGGTACGTCGGTGGCGCCAGGGCGCGAGAGTGCGATGCTGGGGAGTCTTGGGTATCTGTAGGCGAGGAGATGCCGCCGACGCTCGTTCGCCTTAGGCGAGCGCCGGCAGCCCAAAATCCTGCCCGAGCTCTTGCTTGAGCGCGTGCACGTCCTCCTTGTTCAGCTTCGCGGCAATGCTCGAGCGTCGCGAGAGGAAGCCGTCGACGATTGCCGCTGCCGTCTCCGCCCCCCGCGCGCCCTCCTGCTGCGCCTTCTCCTCGAGACGACGGTCGCCGGAGCACGCAATCTTGCACGTCCCCGATGATTCGTCGAGGTACGTTCCTTCGCCGCAAGCCCCGATGGGCGGCGACGACGGCGGGGCGGGTGCCGATGGAGGACGGAGAGGATAGTCCCCAGGTAGATCCGACCCGCTGGGGTCTTGGCATTCTGCGTACTTGGTAGGGTTTTGGTCTTCCAAAAACCTGGATACCACCATCGAGCAGTCTTGGCTAAACTCCGTGAAACACCAGCAAGTCTTGAGTGGCAGGGGGGGCGGAGATGGCGGGTAGGCCGAAGTGGTGCTCGGCTCGGATACGTACCGCGGTGTTGTCGTCATCCTTGGCGCACTCGCTGAGGCATTCGTCGTAGGTGGCTAGATCGGTAAGCCCCGCCTGAGAAGTGAAGTCTGGCTTGGTGTCAACCACATAGCAATCCGCGACCGCGAAATTTGTGCATCCGTTGCCAACATCCTCCTCCAACGGGCAGCGAGTGTCGCCGCCAAAGATTGGCTGACCGAGATACGTGTCTCTAGTCATATACTCTGGATCGCCCCCCGCCATGTTCCATACGTGCTCGGCAGCAGTTGAGTAATGATCATAGCCATACACGTCGCTCTTGTACATTTTGCAGTTCTGCGCCAAATAGGGATGGAAGGCGAACCAGTCGCATTCCCCCCTAAAGTTCTCGACCTTACACGACAGCTGACATTTCTCAAAGTTTTCTTCGCGCCTTACGGTGGGGTTATCGCTGTAATAAAGAGGAGGGCCAACGAACGCACGAGCGCACCGGCCGTTGAAGGGGAATTCGCCGTCGGGGAGCGACATAGCAGCGGCGAACTCAGAAGCGCGAACTCCGACGAACTGCGTCGGGGAAATCGCCGTCTCTTTGGCCCACAATGCCTTGCCGTCCTTGCCGCCGGACACGTATCTAGATACTTTAATCCAGTCGGCGAAAAGGACGGCTGCTGTGCGGGGCACCTCCGCTCGAATCCCTGGCTAGGGGTTCGAGGTGGCCCCCACCCTGGGGCCTCCCATCAAAGGGACTGCTGCGGCAGAAGACGCCCAATCTTGCACAAGTGCAAGAACCATACATGGTGTTGATTAGAGCGCGCATCGAGAACCTACTAGTACCTGTGTGTTCGTGTCGTCCATTCTTTGTGCCGGATTCCGCGGAGCGATTTTTTTCTTCGGGCTACGGCGTCTGTTCAGCGAACACGCAAGGGGCGGTAATGATGAGGTCGAGCTTGGCCTTGAAGTCGAGGAATGTGGACTCCTTTCGCAAGCCGAGCGGGCGGGCGGGCGGCTGCCGCTCTGCCCACGGCGGTGGAGCCGGCATCTTTGAAGTGTGGAGCGTGGCGTCGGACGCGGCGTGCAGGAGCCTGTGCCAGCAGGAGCCGAGCTGCGAGGCGTACGAGTGGGCATCCATCGGCAAGTCGTTCAGGCGGTGCGAGACCCACACGGCGCCGGTCACGCACGTGGTGCCGCTAGACGGCTACACCTGCTGGCAGCGCGTGCGTCGAGCGGCCGCCACTACGCGCCGTGTCCAGCCACCGCCGCCTCCGCTGCCTCCTCCAACGCTGGATCCAAACAGCTGCGCCGTGTGCGGCCACCTGGGCGGCGGCTCGCTCAACTGCTGCGGGCCGGGCGGGTCGTGGGAGGGCCGCTGCGCTCACGACCCGGGCAAGAGCCGGATCAACTACATCGAGGGCTACATCGTCTGCTTGCAGTCGCCGCCGCTGCCGCCGCCGCCGCCGCCGCCTCCGTCGCCGCCGACCCCCGCCTCTCCGCCGCCCTTTCCGCCGGGTGTGGTCCAGGGAGGCTTGGCGCAGCACCACCTGATGCCGCGCTGCCCGTGCCTGTGGGTGCTCCCGGCAGGGCAGCAGCAGGGCGGCTGTCGCTCGGCGGTGGCGCGTGACTCGCGAGGCGGCTTCGA